TTATTAATGATTTCAAGAAGCCAGGAAAATGACAGCATAAAAACCTACTCACCTTGAAAAAATTTTTGAAATAGATTTTGAGCCAGAAAATTGGTTCTTTATTCATGCAACAAGACATGTTCAGATAGGAGGGTATCTAATCAATCTATTAACATAAGATATTGATTCCTGGCACTATCTATTTTGCTTATAAATCACTAAATAAAAGTAGCCAGGAAAATGACAGTTTTTCATGGTACAAACAAATTATTGGCAGAAAAAATTATTTTAAACAAAGTTTTAGTAAACAATGCCCTCTGCGTACATTCTAGAAATGCTTACATAGGATAAAATAAAAAAAATTAGATTTTGAAAAATGTATGGGAAGTTTTGAAGCTAGTTATCATTGAAAATACTGTTTGGGACATGCCAGGAAAATGACATTTTGATATTCGATTAAATTTTTTAAGTATACAATACAGTCAATGCTAGTGCAAAGTCATTTTAAAATGCTAACGGTAATGCTATTTATTAATTTTTTTTAAAAAAAAAGTTCTTTTAGTATTATAGTATTAGATCTTGGAGCAAGGGGCAGTGAATTGTCATGTTTCGTGAGAATCACCTATATGTGGCCCATGCTGTCTTTTTATATCATTCCAAACTTAATTTGTATTTAAAAATGTAAACTTTTTTTTTTGTTGTCTCTTTGATAATAATCAGGGTACATATTTTTAAACATGAATTTGAATTGCTACCATATTACGCAGAACAAAAACTCTATTTTGATCAAATGCCCCTTTAATATTTAACTATTTTGGCCAAGCAACCAATGTTCTCTGCCCACTCTCTTTTTTTCTTTTCTTTTTCTTGTCACAACTGTGCAGAAAATCTAAAAAAAATGTCATTTATACTCTGAAAAAGAAAGTCGAAATAGAGAGGGGACGTTCCGTACACGTACATTCAAATGCAAATTTACACTCATGATAAAAATTTAAAAATAAAATGTCTGTTATTTCAACAAAGAATGTGGTTCGCTCTTCAACTCTCGATGAGCTGTAAGTTTTAAAGAGCTTTATACCCTTAACTATGTCATAGATATTTGATAATTTTCTAGTATTTCTTGAATTGAGTAAGAATTAATAAAAAGTTGAAAAAAAGAATTAGTAAAGTGAAAATTTTTGAAAATATTTTCTTACTTTACCGTATTTTTGCTTTGAACTTTTTAATGTAATTTTTAATTTTCACACATTATGTCAAAATTTTCACAAAATAGGTACTTCTTAAAAAAAACCAAGACAGACCCCTGACTTCCCTGTATGCAATGTTTGAAAAGTTATTTTTGCTTTGAACATGATGCAAAATAAATGTTTCTCTAGTATTAAAAAAATTTCAATGGTTCTTGACATCTGCTATTTTGATCATTCAAAAATAGAGAAAGACTTCTTCTTTTGATATTTTAATTTTTTATTAATGATATTTTTTTCTATAAAACATCTTAAATATTATTAAAAAAAATACCTGAATCTGTTTGCTGTTAAATAGGTACAAGAATATTTAATATTTTGGTAGCATGTGTATTTGTTGCAAAAACTTACTATTGAAAATGTTATCTTTGAATCTAGAACTAAATTGTTTATAAAATTGTGATTATTTATGATTTTTTCTTCCATGAAAAGCTGGCTCTGTTGCTACATGGTACAGATGAATCCACTATTTGGACCTCAACTACCAACTGCTACTTTAGCTGTGATGAAAGAAGTTTGGAAGAAATAATTGGTTGAAAAAAGTAAGTATAATCTTTAATTTCATGCCTTTTTATCTAATTATTATTGTCTTGTAGTCAGTTATTATCAAATTCAATTTGGCTTTTAGTTTAGACATTTATATCTCCAATTAAATTGATTTATTATTCTACAGGGTTGCCATCTCCATAACTAGGATAGGGAAAACTTAAACAATACAGGGAATTTAAAAATCACCTAAAATAACAGGGAAACAGCCAGGAATTAGGAAATTTAAACATGATATTTCAGCTATACTAATTTCATTTACTTAATTATTTGTTTTAAGTATGTGGAGCTATTCCTTGTTTTTTTTCAGCACTTCACTAAAACTAGTATAGTTAGCCCAATATAAGCTCACGCAAGAGCACAGCATTTTCTTTTAATATATTGTTTATAATATGCGCAAGGAAAACATAGGGATTTTTTTCTTCTGATTTCCCTGTTCTAAGTGAATGGATTTGAGTAAAGAATTAATAACACGAGAATAAATATTTTTGTAATGTCCTAACTATCTTTAGTGAGATTGTCACTTAAGTTAAGAACTTTTACATTTTATTTGCAACAGATAAGCATATTAACTATATAATTGTTTTGTCAAACTAGGTAAAGTTCTGAAATACACTAAAAATAGTTTTAATGTTATACTAAATAGTAAAATTCTAAAAATACTGTTCATTGCATTTTCATAAGTTAATTGCCTTTATAGTATGAGTAGCAAGGGTCTCAAATCAAAAAACATTTCTTTCAGTGTCATTTATACTTAAGATTGGGTGGGTTAGGCCTAAGGAGTTTTCGAAAAATCATATATGTTTGACCATTGCCAAATTTCTTATATATAGATATATAAGGTTGAAAGACAAGGAATTTAGTTTAAATGAATTATAATTAAAAAGTGAGAAGATTTTAAACAAGAAATATTTTAATGAACAATAATAAATAGCGACAAATATTTTAATTTGAAGCATTCTATTTATGTATCTAGTCTATTGCCACGTCTTTTTTTTATATAAATGTTAAACTTTTCTGCACTGTTATAAAATAAAACTTATTTGAACCTTGCATACACATATACGTATCATACATGCACACACACACACACACACACAGATATATATATATATATATATATATATACGCATACACTTATTAAATTGTAATGGCTGGGAAATATTTATAACAAATTATGCATATCATACATGCTCACACACGCACATATATATACACACACATACACTTATTAAATTGTAATGGATAGGAATTATTTATAACAAATTATGTTTGTGCATCATATCTGTCGTATTCGGGATTGTAGCTTGTATTAACCTATGCATACAAAAAATTCTGTATTGTTAAATTCAATAAAATTATTTTATTTATGTTTTTAATCATGAGGAATTAAATTAATATTTGCATGATGCTGAGTGGTTGGTGGGAACATCAATCTCACATAAACCAATAATCTTAAAATGTAATATTATTCTAATAAAAATTATGTACTTAAATTGCAATTTAACTATAAAGTACATTTAAAACAAAATAAAGGGAGTTTCCTCTGAAACTGAAGAAATCCAGGATTTGAGAAATCCAGAACATTTCCCACGAGGTCATATCAGAAAAAGTTTCACAGAGAAAAAAATAAAGGTCTGTTAGAATAAATTTAGAACAATGTTTAAATTTCAACTTCCTGTAAAGTTTACAGAGGGAGAGCCTCAACAACAAAGTTTACAGAGGGAGTGGGGAAAAAATTCACTGTAATATGGCGTAAGCGACCGGTTAGGCTTGCCACATCCCATTACGAAGCACATGCTACCCATACTTATGTACGGAATTAAGCCGGGATTTATTGTTTCTTACGGGGATACAAAAACATGTTAAGAGGAAGGTAGGAGAATCATAGAACTTGCTTTTTTAATTTGAGAAACTACAGTTTTTCCTAAAGTTGAATTTGTGAAGGTACCGCTAAATGGTAGTAAATTTGCCCTGAATAAAGCTCTGCATATGTTCTAGTCTGACACTGTTTCTTATTTTGTTTATATTTTAAAAAAACTAAATACTTATATCTATTTTGTTTATTGTAGGTTTTGTATTATTTTCTGTATAATCAAGATAGATTGAAGGTTAGCTCAGTATATTCATGGAAGAAATCATGTGATTTTTGTTTCATCTGTATATATGCGATTCTTTTCGAAGAAGTCACTCTCAATTGTATGATGTTTAAAATTTTTCTTGCATTATAAAATTATATATTATCATTATTTTCTGTTGATGTTCATAGAGTTGGATATGAAATAAATTATTTATTGTTCCAGAAAAATGTATGTATTATTGTTTAAAGGAGACTTGTTTGTGTAGTATTCTTATTGTTTAACAGAGACAATTTTTATGCACTTTATTTACTTCACAATTTTTATATGTCTTTGCACCAAATGATTCTGTCAGTAATTATTTTGAGGGACTTGAATTCATTATTATTTTTGATTTCTCCATTTTTTTCTTTTTTTAATTTTTCAAAATAGTTAAATTTATGGTTTAACCACTCTAGTTTTTAAATAATGGCAGAAAATGTGATCTTTTATATTATTTGTTCTTTAGAAGAAGGCAATATGCATATAAAATATTTTATATATATTTCTCCAGGGTGCATGGCGTTTTTAAAAGCGCTTATTTTTGTTTTTTTAAAAGCCCTTAATGGTGCTTTTTTTTGTTGTGTTTTTAAAAAGAGCTCAATTTTTCCCATTCCAAAATGAGAAATTTTTTCTTTACTACATCAGTTTTTTCCTAGAATGGACAATTAGTCAATTTTAATTGAAATCTTAATGCATTCAGTATCCCTCAAAATCATTAGAAAACATTTTATTACTTTTTCTAAGGGTGCTAATTATTAAGTTATTTTTAAGCAAAAAACGCTTACTTTCGTTTTCATCTGCATATCTAATGAATTTACACATTTTTTCCTTTGTATTTTGAACTTTAACAGTCTTTATGAGTTACTTATACGCGTGTAATTAGTTTCTTATGCTACTTATTATACGAATGTTATAGAAAATTTATGCAAATAGTAGTTAAATTCTTTTCCATTTATCTTAAACTTTCAATGCAGCTTTTAAGCATTAGTAATTTATGAATTTGTTACACTTTTACAAAGCGTTATATTTTTATGTGTTACTGTATATTAATTCATAAAAGTTACTTTACGCTTTTTTTCTTCTTTTCCTTTAACATTTCACGCGTTATACGAAGTACATTTTACGTTCTATGCGTAGAAGTTATGCATTTATTGTAATTCTTCGTTATACTTATATTGATCCGCTACATTTTCCATGTTTGAATTTCTTTTGCTTTTCCTTTATGCTTTTATATACGAGACTTTTAATTAATTATGACTTTATAATTGTGGCTGAACTGAAGCTTTTGAATCTTCCCATAGGAAATATAAATTAATAAAGGGATACTTTTGTCACTATTAACCAATTAAAAATATAAATCTCTTCAGTCCCTGGCCAAATTATTAGGCATACTATTAAATTCTACATAAAACTTTAATTATCAGGTAATACTTTAGTGGTTTATTGTTATTACGAGAGTGCAACCGGTTTGCACTTGTTTGCTCTCGTGCTTCGATTGGACAAATTAGATGATATATAATGTAAAACAGACAATTCGATAAATTAAACGATATATTATATAGAGTATTTATTATATTAGGTGTTATAATAGTATAATAATTAGACTGAATTAATAGACTTACTGTAGTTATTTAATAATGACGTATTTATATGCATTACTTTTATTTTAACATACATGCAATGGCTTTTTATTCAGGAGATTTTTACCTCCTATTTGTATTTATTTTTAACCTATTACATTACAATGTTAATCAATTGAACGTAAACAAGTGCAGTCACATAAAAACAACAATTCTGTATACTATCACCTGATAATTAATATTTTCGATAGAATCTTATAGTGAGACTAATAATTTGGCTAGGTACTGTATATTTTCAAGAAGAAAATATTCTTTAACACCATAATCCAAGCGTTAGGGATAAAGGAAGAAACACGCACTTTAATTACATTCGCTTGGATAATCTGTAAAATAATAACTTTTCATTAAAGTAAGATAACTTTGCAATTTTGTCCTTAATGTACATGATCCTTGCTTATTTCTTCAGTCCTCACTCAGATCTCCAGCCTGACTCTTTCAGCCATTATACATCTTAACATGAGTCTTTCAGTCACTTGAATTTAATCTGTATATCATGCTGATCTAGCAGGGACAATGATGTACATAGAACAGTAAAATGCCTCCCAAACAATGTTTCAACTTGTCAGTTTTAACGATCTCTAATCTACAAGTCTGTCATATCTCTATAAATCTTGCAATAAAAAGTACACTAGTATTATTTTTAACTCGCCATTACGTGTTCTAACTGTAACCATACCCCTCACAAGACCGTCAAAGGTCATCGTCAAATTTTTTTCCCTCTATCATAATAGAAAAAGTTCTCAACTTTATTAACGAAAGTGCCCGAAAAATTTATTTGAACTTTATGAAAAATAAGAGGTATACAAAAATAATAATGACTACATTTTTCAAACATCATACATTTTTGGAAGATCATATATATGCAGGGTATCTGCTACATTTCAGATTTTCAAATCCATTCCTTTTCATGACTTATTCCAAGAATTTCACAAGATTTAACAAAGTTGCTATTTTCTCCGACAAAAACATAGCAATAAATTTAAAAAAGCATTATAATAACATGAATTAAAATGAAAACTGTTATACTCTGCATCTTCATATATATAGATTTTAAATTTAAAAGAAAGAGTTGAAGCAATAAAATAGCTCGGGGAAAAAATACAAAAGCAAATAATTTTTTTCTTCCGCAGAATTATATTCTTAAGATATTTTTCTTGTTCATCTGAAAAGAGAGAAATACTCCTGATTTTTCTGCTCTCATTTCAGAATTAAAAAAAATTGCTGGCTTGCTTCAGCTAGAATTCTAAATTGATAAAATAAAAAATCTGAAATCACTGAAGTTTAAGAGATAATTTTCTCTAGAAATGCTTTTTCTTTCATTTTTTGAACGAACACCATAATTTTTAAAGTATGGGATAAAAACATTTTAAATATTAATAAAATATGACTGTTGAGTGGGGTTTTTGTTACTAATTCAGATATTTGGAATATCGGAACACTGTGAAAGGGTAAATTCCATTTTAAAAATTAGAATTTTCGGCCACCTAAATCTGATTTTCCATGAATTTTTTTTAAAACAATAGTTAAAATCATAACATTACATGACACATTTTGCTCAGTGTGGAATTCCAATATTCGCACCGGTTACACTGGTTTGCCGCACCAACCGTTCCAATATTAAAACTGGTTACACCAGTGCACTGCACCGATTGTTCCAATATTCAAACCAGTTACGCACGAAGTGCACCAGGTTTCTGGTTGGTTTGGTCAGTTCGCATGATGCCTTATTTGTTTACAAACTTTAATACTGCTGTTGAGATTGTCATAATTTTGCTGTATTTTTTAATGGATTTTATTATAAATTTGCAATAAAAACTTGTTTTATCATTGAAAATAAATTTTCTTGTATTAAGTTGAAATTAATAACAAGATTCTCACAGTACTTGAAAAACCTTGAATTTGGTTGAAAAAATCAGGGCCCTGAAAAGTCCTTGAATTCTGCCATAGGGTACTTGAAAAGTACTTGATTTGTTAGAAATTAAAATACTACTAACTTTTGGGAATTAAAATACTACTTCTTATAAAAAAGTAGTAAAAAAATAATAAATTCAAAGAAAAATTATAGAAATTCTGATTGAGGCAATTTTTAATACTTGAAGTGAAAAGAGGTTAAAGAAGATGCAAAAATTTTCTCTCCTAGACTTTTCAGACCAGATTATTGTTCATCTCTCTGATGCTTTGAAAGCTGAAATTTCTAGCAAATTTTATGCTTTGTAGTCATTGTTTTCAAATGATACATAGTCCCAAGTAGCACAATTCACAAAAACGATATCGTAAAAACTTAGCTTTGAACATTGTACAATATCGTAGCGAAATATTGTACTATATCAAAATGGACCCCTTTTATAACGTATATTTAATATTGCAAAACAATATTGTTCGATATTGTAAAAACGTTGGGGAACGTCAACCGACATCTCTCTGCATTTACAAACGTTGTACTATGTCGACTGACATCGTCAACACGATATTCAAAAAACGAAGGCTGTGGAATACCGACAATCGCCAAAATTACGATATTTGAGAAAATAAAAATTAGTTTTTGAAAATAGTCATGCCTGTTTGCAACCTGGAAAAAGCTGATAACAAAACTGTTCTAGCTTGTTTAAAATTAAATTATTTGTTATTACCAAAACTTATAGAATTTTTAGGTCTGCAGCTTAGTTATTAATATTTAATAAGTTTGGGTAGGCAGGTATATTTTACTGTTATTCTAGAAAATAAGCTAGAAAGTAAATAGTTTTACTTAAGATATTTCTTTTCTTTTTCAGGGTACAAGCAGCCATTTATACTGTGAAATAATTTTAAGTGATTTGTGCAATAATTTTTACAGCATCTATATTTTACTATGTAGATTAAAATTACAATATGTTTAATTTAAAACGATGAACTTTTTTGTTGTGACGTTTTAGTATTATATAACCTGTATTTTACTTAAATAGTATGCATGGAAAACAAAATTCCTTATCTTCACAGCATCAGGTTCGATTTTAAGAAAACTGATTAAAAAGAAGAAGAAATGCAATATTTACACTGATATTGTCATAATAAAATAACGGGAGTCACTTCCTCAGATTTCTGTTTTAAAAAAGGGTAAGCATGGTAGAATTTACTATAACGATTTAATTTACGATTTAATTTACTTATAGCCTTTGTCCATTAAAATGTTGCCAAAATATCTATTAGGGCTTGAACAGATGTCAAATGTGTAAATGAAATAGATAAGTTAAGCTAAAAATTTTTTTTAAAAAATCTGTGTACTCATTGGAATTTTTTTTCACAAAATCTCTTTATGGAAAATCTGATAATGTCAAAGATACTATAAACATATTAAGAGGAGAAAAAAAACAGTTACCAGTTAATAACTCTACTGCTTCAAATAGACTTCGAAAGGGAAGAATGACACTATATCAGGAAAAAAACATCTGAATTCATCAGCCCCCTTTTTTTTCCTTCATATATAACCTCAAGGTTTAGAAACATACATTTTCCACTAATAAAATATAATGTAGATTAGAATTTTAATTAACATTATTTGTATTTTTTTT